TGGATATGCATAAGTTGATGTAAAAATAGAGTTACGAAGTATAGTTAAATCTAGAAATTCCACATTAAATATCTTAAGTTGCATAAGTGTCAATGGCTTGTATGAATTGAGTGCTAATTAATTTGCTAAGGATTAATGTTTAAACGTTATAAACATATTGTGAGTTTTGTGATAAATAGGAGAGAAATGCTCACTGTTTTGATGTCTTAGATGTTGGGAAATTATTATAAATGTTAAATTAAGTTTGAAGGAATTACAATGATGATTTGAGAAAGGTTTGGGGAATATAATTATGATATATGTGTACCTATATGTATGTGTATCTTTATGCCTTGTTATAGGTGTAAGTAGAGTAGAATATAATGAAATCTGGAAAATTCCCAGATTTGTGGTAAAAATGCTTAAAATTGAGTTTAATATTGGTATAGGATTGATGATGAAAGGATTTATACATAAGAGACAATAAAAAGGGAATGAAGTTGAGGTTCAAATTAGGAAGTGATGGTACTGCCCAAAATTTTTAAGAGTTAAATTATTCAAAGAGACATTATATATATATATATATATATATATATTGAGTTTGGGCGTGAAGCATATGGAGGGGAAAGAGGAGAAAGGAAATCAAGTAGGACTATAGGTTAGAACAGCCTTGGTGTATGATGATGGAATGTATTTTAGGTGCGACTAACTTGGGTTTTTGAGATCGGTATTAGGATAATTGAATCTGGAAAAGTACGTAATGGATATAACTATTTAAATTATGTTGAAAATTCAATAATGATTTGGGAAAAACTGAAAGTGAGCTTATGAATTTTAGAGTCATTTGTAGTCACTGTACTATATGTATATACATGCATCTACTTTTTTTTTTGCTACGACCAACCACTTGATGAAGTGGAGCCAGCTTGGTTTAGGGACACGATGTAGTCCTTAAATATACTAACTAAAATAATATTTTTTTTGATCAAGATGACTAGTTACTAAGTAAAGTAATTGTATGGGTTGAGATAATTAAGAAAGAAACCCTCCAAAATAAATAGTTCAAATAAGAAAAATTGTCAAGGATAACCAACTATAAAGTAAGGGTAGAGATTAAAAAAGATTTGGGATTTAAAGAGAATTATTTAATTTATGAATAATAATTGGATCAAGTATTAATTTACCCTTACGAATATGATAGGTTTTGATATATGTTCAAACCCACCAAGGAAATGAAAGAAGAAGAAATTTGTAAGGTTTGATTTGGAGGAAAGCAGACCAGGTAGTGGTTTTTTCCTATCTTACACTTGTATATAATTACTACATGCCTGTTTGTGTCATATTGTTCTTCTAAAGCATGAGAACATGTAATCCTTAATTCCTTGCATGGATTATTTAGTCGTGATCACATGTAGCTGATAGACAAGGGGCAGTATTTGCCAATTACTTGCGCATTATTTATTCAGCTTATCTATCTGTCTTTGTGCATAAATGCTTAATTGCATTAGCTTGCAAGGTTATGTTGCACTTTAACTTGTTTTGCATGCTTTATGTAATCTGTACATTTATTTGATGAAAATTACTACTACGAAAATTCTTTAGAATCTCACCCTCCCTTCCATGATATACAGCAAAAGTAAGCAGCTCTAAGGGAAAAGAGATTGTAAGAGAAAAAGGTAGGCAGTTGTGAAGAGCAGGAATGCCTGCGTTATTTTTGTACTTATATAGTGGCTTATTGTCACACCCTAATTTTTTTAGAGGTAACCAACAAGGAATATGAGAAATCTCACATTGCCAGGCCTTCTCTTTCATAGACAATTAACATTTACTGTAAATAAATCATACAATCAAAATAATAAACCATTTGTAGAAATTTCGACATAGTCTTCATAGTAAATCAGACTTCTCGAAAGTTCTACAATGGCCTACAAATTTAAAACAGTATTTGGAGCTCTACTCCCCAACACAAGTATATATATATAATTACATACCAATTTATCTCAAAAGATTAGGACCTAACTATAGATTTCGTGGAGCATATAATTATAAAATTAAAAACATAAGTGTACTCTTAGGTTTACATTAGTTAACAACTACTCAAAATAGATTCACAGGTTCTGGATTTTCACTGAGACTCTTCACTGCTCAGCTGGAGGGACAGGATCTGCGGTGCTATTTGAAGTCAAAAAATATCTACCGGTAAATAACATCCCATTATAATATTTAATAAAATATCAGGAACTAAATAAAATAAATTTAACTTTGACAGATAAATGGCAAGAATTTAAAATTTCTATAGTATACAATCCTAAATTAAAAGGTTAAGTATATACTTGAACTCATTAGACAATTAAATCAAATCAAACTTCACAACTTGATACATGAAAATGATATAAAACATTATTCTATTTATTATTATTATTGTTTTCTTCAAATCTTGTCTTTTCATAGGACCTTAACAGAACAGGATAACAAGCGCGGCCTGAACCCGTGAATACAAGCGTGGACACACAGTCCACGAGGGTGAGTAACAAATCAAGTGCAGCCAAAGCCACGAAACAAGCACGGGGACGATGCCCATGAATATCAAGTGAGCTCGAGATTTCTATGGCGCGCCAAGAACTAACAGTACTGCTGTTAGTATTATTGTTCAAATTCCAAGCACAAATATTTATTAATTACAGAATGCTGATTAACATATCACAAGTGGCAATTTATTCAACATCAGAAGCAAAAGTATTTCTCTAAACAATAAAACATTAAGACATTAAATAATTAAGATTGAAAAATGATAAAATTTAATTTAAATTACCTGGATAAACTATTTAGCAGCAAAAATGATCATTTAACTAGATTAATAACAAGTACTAGTAGTAAAAAAATTTCTCTTCTTTTTTTTTTTGTTTTAAACCATAATAATGGGATGCTATTCACTCACCTGACAAGTTCCCACAATAATACTTAAATTTAATCACGTCCATATTAGGAACTCTCCTCAATCCCCTAAAGTCCAAAAACAAAAATATTACTACTCAAGTCAAAATTTATATAAAAGTTTTCACAATAACTAGATAGATAAAACTTCAAGAACCATCTAAAATAAAAATTCTAACAACTATAGAACTCACTATTTTGACTCCCAAATTCTAATAGCTCTTATAGGATGGGCATTACACTTTTACATTTATCTCACAAGATTTACCGTATTGGGTGCCATTTTCAACATAACATCCTCATCCATTTAAACCCAACGCACAAGAGCAATTTAACTTGGTCCTTAAATGACAAATCACATTTTTACGTTGAACTCCAATTATTCCGTTACTTGAATACCATCAACATTGCAAGCATAAACTTCAACTACTCATGTTAGAGCCCACAATTCACCATTGTCATCAATCTTTCAATCCATCAAAGATCATGTAATCATTCAAACTCATCCACCGAACAAGCATCTTGGCTCAATAGACAAAGCATGACTTCTAAGCAAACCTTTTTCCCAAACATTTCTTCAAACACCTTGTATGCAGTAATAATTAAACAAGATGACCAAGCATATTAATCCACCGTTCCAACCTTAATAAACTTCATAACAGCCACAACAACCGAAAATTTTACAGCCTAGCACAATTATGAACATCAAATCCAAAACAGAGGAATAAAATGCAAATCCTTTACCGATAGCAGCAAACTAAGAATCTAACGGAGACGAAGATAAAGATGTCATCAACAGTCAGGCAAGAGTAAGAAAATACGAACTCCAAACCTTCTAACCACCAAAAATCGAACAGAGCAAGCAGGAAAGATGGCACAGCGAAGCTGGAAAACTCAAAACCGAAGCAAGGCAAAAGAATCACAATGTTGCGTCAGTGACGGCAACTCTAATGGCAAGGAACGGTGGGAGGAACGACGAACCAAAAGAGGCAGAGTGGAGGGTTAGGGTTTGAAGTTCATAAGTCATTCTTTCAGTCTCTCCTCTCTCTCACTGAACCGAAAGCATCGAAGGAAAAAAAATATATTGCAAGTCTCTGTTTTTTTTTTAAACATGGGTATATAAGAAATTTTCTTATAAAATCGAGCAAAATAAAATAAAATAAATTCTCCTTTAAACAGGTTGGGTTTCGAATCTGGAACCTCTGGCCTCTTTAGCAACCTCTATTACTAGCTATCTTCAAGTTCTATTTGGTACTCAAACTACAACAATTAATATAGGTATTAATTAATTAATTATGAAAATTTCAAAATTATTACACTTATTTTATTAGCGAAGTTAATTATACTGTTATATATAATCACAGCAAGTAAGCAACACTTGCTTTTTGCAGATACTCTCTTGTACTATTTATAAGGAGGTCTTTATTGAGTCGCGATCATAGGTAGGTACTGAGATGACTTTTGTATATATCTATATATATTCATTACTAACCTGTTATCCCTGGGGCTAGTGACCTGTTAGTTAATTAAGGCTTCAGGTTTTTTATTAAGCTGCATGAGAACAGGGTTGAATTGTAAATCACTCATTAGCTTTTCTAAAAGTTTAAATTATTTTAATGATGAATTCCAATATTAATTCTAAAAGTTTAAATTATTTTAACGATGAATTCCAATATTAATTTCAAGTTCAGCTCCTATATTGGGATTCTGGTTTCAAATGATTTATGTTATAAAAAAAATGAAAAAAAAATTCCTGTTTTCTTGGGATAGAAACCTGGCATTAGTGATTCATAGACAATAAAATGACCCTATTAGTATATAGAATGTTAGGTGTTGCACCAATGCCTACCTGGAAAAATTGATCCGCAAAGCCAAGTCATAAGCCAATTAATCTAATTAATTTGGCATAACCACATCAGTGTGTGTATATATATATGTGTGTGTGTGTTCCAAATATGCAAAGGTTGATACACACCTCCGACATAGGCTAAAAATATAAGCAGTTGGCTTATTACACGATTAAGATTCAAGAGGAGTAAAACATTTATTCAATAGGAAATCATACATATATGGTAAGATTTCACAGTTCATGGCCACTCTTCCACCTTCTTCTTGAAGATGCTTGGACCATAAGTAGAAAAAAGCACTTTAACAAGAAGAGGGAATTGTAATAATACAAAGACAGTTATCGGAACACTAGCCAGCATAGTAAGAGGAAGAGTAACCCATAAACGTGATGAGTTATCATGCAACATGATCATTATTGTTGCTGAAAAGGAAATCATCATAGTTGCAATAGACAAAAACAGTGTAGAAAGACCTATTATCAGTTTTGTAGGTAGTGAGTAAAGGAAGTCCTCTTCCGCGTAGCGTGAGGTGAGGATTCCTAAGAACACGAGCACAGAAGTAGTGGATGAAAACAAAGAAAGCGCATCTGAGATCAAGAAAACTTTAAATAACTTCTCTTTCATAAACATTGGGTACCCTGAATTCTGATTGTTCCCTCCAAGAACTGTTATAGCTGCGGCAAACATGATGGTAACAATTAGAATCCCAACAACTGAGCAAGAAGACGCTGTTTCCTTCATCCACTTTTCTCCTTGAGCCCTTAGCTCTTTGTGGTTTTCTTTGAAATATTCTAGAGGAATCAGCCCCTTCTTGTTTTGATGTAGCCTATATCCAGGATCCACCACACTCTCGACAGCCTATGTATATAGAAAATAAATAAATAAATAAGCAATAGATAAAAGACTCAAAGTAACAAAATAGAATTGATTTTTAAAGCAATTAATTTGTTTTACATAAGCTAACCCATTATTATTCTTGCATTATACAAGGAATTATCCAATGATATAAAATTAATTCACTTTTCTAGCTAGTTCACTATCAGCAAGTCTCATCAGATGTGTTTGTGAATTAAAAAAAATTAATCCAAAAAAAAAATCTTCTTCTTTAGTCAATTTTATTTGTTAAATTGCACTATATAATAATGAATCCTAATTATTAGCAAGGAAAAAAAGAGACCGAACTAGCCAATTCAATTGAAAAACCGGTGAGGTATTGCACTGGTCAAGAGTTGAATCGGTATTGAACTAGTCAAACCTAATTATTGTATTTTGTTATTTTTAATGAAATTATATTATTTTAATATGACCAGTTTGATTTCAAGTTGACTTCAATCTGACCAACTGACCCTTGAACCACTATCCCCGATCCAGTTTTTTGTTTCTTGATTATTAGTATCCAACAGATCATGTCATAAATTAAATAGGTCAGAACTACGTGATTTTATTATGATAGGAGAAAATCTAAATCCATAACCACAAGTGCGCGTGTGTTAATATGATTCATTTTCTTCTGCCTCTGGCATTGACAAACTCAATTATTTTTATATATTTTGGTATCTTTTATATGAGTTTTTTCAGCTTCATTAGTCCTTTTTTGCCTTAATTGATTTATTTTGTTTTATTTTGAATTATTATTTTATAGGGGCAAAATTGTCATATTTTGGTTTAATTGTGACTAATTGATTTTTGAGGACAATTAATACTACCTTATCCTTGAATTTTTGCTTGCAGGTTTTTGGAAGATTTTTAAAATAAAAAAAAAAAAAAAAAAAAAGAAAAAAAAATATAATAAAAGGGGGAGCAAAACGCTGCGTTTTGCTCCACCCCTAATATCCATTATTACCATCAGCTGGGAGAAGAAGAGCAGGGGGGCGAACAAGACAGAACGAAAAACACACGAAGACGCCGAAAAAGAAACGGAGAAGCGGGTGGCGGCGCTGAAATAGAGGCACACACACACGCAGACGGCGGCTGGGACAAACCAGGAAGAGCTGGGGCGGCTGGAAGAACGAAAACAGAGCAGAGCACGCCGAAGGAGACCCACAAGCTGGACGCCGAATGTAAAAACCCTGTTCATTAAACCTCAATACTTTTCATAAGACCACTACTATGGTAGAAAAGGAAAGTTGTTAAAACGAGCTACCATAGTAGAAGGAAAAATTCATATTTCTAGAAATTAACTTTCGAACTCGGGTCAACCCGATAGACGTTGCATGCAACTAAAATAACCCATTTACATCTACTGGGCCTCCGAGCCTCCGACCCGGGTAACACATACATCAAGACAGCCCATCCAAATAGGTTTTCCACCAAGTGAAACAAAGTTCCATAAAACCATAGCAATGGCCTCCGGCCAACAAAACGAGTAGATAATGTATTCTCCAATTTACAATAAGGCCGGGAATCAGAATATTTCAAGAAAACCCTAGCTGTGGCAATATACAACTATCCATACATAAATAAAGCTAGAGGCCTAAAGCTAACCAAGCTCAAGCCTCCGCGTCTCTTCCCGAAGGCACACGCCTAGAACCTTCACCTGAAAACATTGTAAACCACGGGGTGAGACAAAGTCCCAGTAACCAACCTTTCCAATACTAGGTACTACTAAATAGGTGCTCGTGAGGTGTCAAGTGGGGCAGTTCACAAATAATACATAATGATAGCCACAACCATTTATGCAAGTGAAATGATGCAATCCCATCAACCAAATCCCTCACTTTGGGGGATTTTCAGGAGCCGAACCCGGCCTATCCCTCACTATGGGGGACGTAAGGAGCCATAAAGGCCTATCCCTCACTCTGGGGGACGTAATGAGCCCAAAGGCCTATCCCTCACTATGGGGGACGTAAAGAGCCAACCATCATGCATTAATGGAGGCCTTACCACGTGGTAGTAACAGACAAAACTCTCACCAAATTCCCAATTAATGCATCATGCTCAAATCGTAATCAAGAGTAATGATCATTTCACAATTAACCTCATTCAGTGGCATATCTTTCACAATTCCACAATTTCATTCATCATAAGTCCAAACCCCACAAGACGGTTTTCCATTTTTATATACAACATATAGTTCGAACACAATTACTATTTGGAGCACAAAACACAAATCTACTCACGATACCACAGAAGCAAGTACTAAGGATTGGAAAGTGGTTACCTCTCGCCTGAGCAAGGAATAACAAATCGACGATGTGGCCCCGTGCACCACCAAGACTCACAACCGGTCTACACAAGCACACAAACACACAACCAACATATATTAGCTTTCAAACTAATAATGTGGCCAAAACAACACTTGGGGACACAAAATTCCTATCTCCCATCAAAACTCTACCCAACTCAAAGGGTATATCTATCAAAACAACACTCCAAAGTCCTCAAAGTCTATTAAAACATCAAGTCTCCTTCCAAGCATCAATTAGAGTTCAAACCTCAAGGACCCACTATAGGAATTCAACCTCCAACAACCCATTTGAGCAATTAAGGTCCCAACAACAAATCTAAACCGATTAAACATCCAATTTAACCCTCCTTAACATAACCCAATTCACAAAACTCAAAATCAATCTCTACATTATCATCCTCAATCCCAAAACATCCAATTCCATAAACCCTAACTCTAAAAATTCAAGATTCTTTAAATCCAAGGAAACTACACCGATTAAATACTTAAACTAACCCAATGCAATCAATTAAACTCAAAACAATCGGTCAAAAACCTCAGTTCCATCATAACTTAGAAAAACCTAGAGTTCCACTAAAAATCCTCAGAAATTCCATGAAAATTCAAGAAAGAAAGAAGATTAGAGGTTAAAATCACTTACTTGAGGTAATGGATCCTTAGAAATGTCTTTCCCAAGCCAAAAGTTCGAAACCCTAGCAGAGCTCTTCTCTCCTCCTCAGATTTTCTTATTTTTCGCACGCTGACTACTCCCGCGAATATATAGATTCGCGACCTTTCGCCGCGGCGAACTAATCCCGAGAGGGATTACTCGCCTGAAAAAACCGACTTCGCCGCGGCGAACTCCAAACTTCGCCGCGGCGAAAGCTTCCCGAGAGGAAACTCTCGCTCGCCCAGAAGAACTTCGCCGCGGCGTGCCCTTACCTTCGCCGCGGCGAAACCTTCCCGAAAGGGAAGCCTCGCTCACCAGAACAACTTCGCCGCGGCGTCCCCTAGACTTCGCCGCGGCCAAACCTTCCCGAGAAGACGCTCCCCTCTGAAAGTCCCGGTTCGCCGCGGCGAACATACCCTGAGAGGGGTATGTTCACCTATGCCTCCAACCAACCTCAAATCCAACCCAAACACCAAGATCAAGATTAAATCACTAATCTATCCTCAAAATCAACCCAAAAGAGGCTATTAAGACTCGGTAAAACTTAGGATGTTACACCGAACACACACGAAACAGGGGAGGCGAAGACGCAAGCGGCACCAGCGGAAAAACGAAGAGGCCGAACGGAAACACACACACGCGAGGCGGCGACCGACGAGCTGAGGCGGAGACGCACACACGCTGGGCGGCGACCGACGAGCTGAGGCGGAGACGCACGCTGAACGAGTGAGGCGGCTTCATCTTCTTCTTCTCCCGGGTGCAGCGAAACAGAGACGTGAACCATTCAGCGTGAACAGTGTTCTTCCATGACTGACCGTAGGAAAATACTGATTGTGGCAGCAAACTTGATGGCAAACCGTGGCTAAGATCCTCTGATTCTCCAATTCAACAATAATGGCAGGAGCTTGGATCTTTAAGGGGGAGTTCTAGTTACTTTAATTTCTTACTCAATAATTGTTTAACAATTCCTAGGTCTTAGGATAGTTTTTCTGATTGTTGGGATAACTGTATTGCTTAATCTGATTATATTTGGGGATTATTGTGACTGAATTATTGCTTAGTATTTGACATTGGGCTGTTCATAGTTTTAATCTCAATTATAATGTTTTGGTTATGACATTTGTATTGATTTTGGAATTAATATATTGTGATTCTCTAAGGTGGCTTAGAATTTTGGATCATACAGTCTCTTGCTAGCTTTAATTCTGTTATTTTGGATTTAAGAGTTCTAATTAAGCATTGGTTTTTAGCACCCTTAATCCCATTTTACTATTCTGGTTGCAGTTAGTAAGTTGGGATTTTAGGAAAATATTTTGTGGCAACTCGAGCTGGCTCGGTTGTTGGATCAAAAGCTTAATTATAATTCTTAATTCATTTTTTTTAACTCCCACATCTTTTAGAGTGATGATTGCCTGCGTTGTTGAATTGGAGGATTGATTTTTATCAGTGTTATTTGTGTGTCTCATTTTCATTCCTTTCATCTTCAGTTATTTCAATCATCTTTTATATAAAAGAAAATAACAAAAAAAAAGTATTTTAATTTCAATTTAATTCAAGGCATTTAGTTAGCAATTTTTCAAACTCAAATAAAAAATCCTTTTTATAGTTTAGGTTACTTGCATTTATTTACTAGGATTTAATTTCGTTTTCGGCTCCTCAAAGTGAATACGACCCAGATTGTGCACTATATTGCATTAATTCGGTTAATTTTTGGAGTAACCCCAAAGCGACAATTAAGGGAAGTTCAACTTCAAGTGGCGCCGTTGCCGGGGAGCCAAGAAATTGGTTCCCCAGTAATTAAGTGTCAAGTAGCCTTGATTGGGGTTCATTTGTTGAGCCTTTTTAGTTTTCATTTTTGTTAGTTTTTATTTAGTAATTTGCATTTATTTCTTTTGATTTTTCATAGCATTTCTTTCCTTTGCATAGAAAATTTTTCAAAAATACAACTAAATATCTTGATTTTTCATTCTCATACGCATACACTTGCATTGCATTGCATTCATCTGTTTTCTTTTGTTTAATTGCTTCTGGTTGATTGATTGTTTATGCCAAGAAAGGGTAGGTCTAAAACCCTAGTTCCTTCCAATCTTGAGCTTCAAAGTACTTTAAGGGAAGTTAGACAAGACCAAAGGGTAGAAAGGACTAGTGAGGTTGAACTAGACAATTTAACTGATCTAGATTTGGTGGTTGACTTGGGTGACATAATGGAAACAGTTAATAATCCTAATGGTAACAACAATGGTGGTAATGAGAGAGGGGGCAATGGACATAATGGGGAGCATGATAGAGTAGGAGAGAATAATGGAGATAACCCTAGAAGAAGAACCATTAGGGAAGCCACTACTTCTGATACAAATTATGATCCTTTTAATGTTGCATGCCCTAATGTTGATGTTAATTTTGAGATTAAAGGTCCACTGCTTAATTATTTGCCTAAATTTTATGGTTTGACAGGTGATGACCCATACAAACATCTGAAATCTCTCTCTATGGTATGTGCTAGCATGAAGCCGGTTGGGGCTAATCTGGATGAGGTTCTTTGGAAGGTATTCCACTTGTCTCTGGAGGGCAAAGCGCGAGAATGGTACATGAGCTTGCCTAGTTATATGGCAGATGCTTACCATAACTGGAACAACCTCAGAAAAGCATTCTTGGAGAAGTATTTCCCTGCTTCCCGGACTTCTACATTGAGAAAAGAGATCTACTCTGCAAAGCAAGATTATGATGAGTCACTTTATGACTACTGGAACCGTTTTCAAGACTTGCTTTCTAGATGTCCACACCATCAGATTCCAGATGAGCAGTTAGTCCAATACTTTTATGATGGACTTAAGACCCAAGATAAGGGGATGTTGGATGCTGCTTCTGGGGGTTCTCTTATTGATTTAACTGCTGAGGAGGCATGGGAACTTATCAAGAAAATGGCATTGAACCATCAACAGTATAGCATCAGGGAGTCTAAAATGTCAATGCAATGCATACTAATCCTTCTTCAGTCCACATTCCTCAATTGGACACATTCACTTCTCAAATTGCTGCTTTGACTACACAGTTGAATAAGCTTGCATCTCACACTCCCCCTACTGACACTCGGAATCCTAATTCCATGGAGATGACTGCACCTAGTTGTGAGCATTGTAACTCTGTTATGCACATCTCTGCTGCTTGCCCTCATAGATATGAGGAAGTTTCTGCCATGTATCAAGGAAGGGCCAATCAATCCAAGCAATGGAACCCATACTCAAACACATATAATGAAGGATGGAAAGCTCATCCAAATTTCCGATGGGGAGGAGGTTACAATAGGCAGGGTCAGGAGGGGTTTCAAGGGAATATGGTTCCTCAAGGGCAATCTTACTATGGAGGGTTACAAGGAGAATCTTCTAGAGCCATGTCTACCCCACAGCAATCACAGTCTAAGGATGATGAGCGGTTCTCTCGAATACTCAAGGGCATTGAGGCAATGACTGAGCACATATCTAAGTCTGAAGCCAAATCTGAAGCTAGATTTGCAGCCCTAGAGAATAGGATGGAGCAATGGGAAACTAGAACCTCTAATTTGACTTCTTATGTCACTAAGTTGTCAAATGGTGTGAGTGGACAACAAGCTAAGACTAGTGGTTCAATGCCTTCCAACACGGTGATAAATCCTAAATCTTTGAATGCAATTACATTGAGAAGCGGCAAGGAAATTGGTGCTAAGACAGTGCAATTCAAAGATGATGAAGATGGTGAAGAACCAGTTGACGAAGAGATAGAAGTTGAGTCTCCTCCTTCTAAAACCACTCAAGACATTCCCGTTCTAACCTTGAACCATTGCAGTTCTCTTTGCATCTGCAGTGCGGCACCGGAGATTCTGCTAAGGTAGGAATCAGGAGCTAACGAGGCTGCTGCATGCAGCAAGTTATTTGTTGTCTCTTCTGCTGCTGTTGCTGCTGCCATAATCTTAAAGCGAAAACCACGGAAGAGGCTGAAAACCGCAGCTTTACGACATTCAACAACAGTTCTGAAGAAAACAGGAAAGCTTGTGTGAACATTTGTAACTAGAGAGATTAACTCTGGATTTGCCTTTGTTACTCGCAAAACAAACTCAGCATTCTCTTGCTCAGCTGCAAAATTCAGTGCGGTTCTAATGACGTTCTTATTGTCGTCAGGCAAAAGCATCAGATTCTGACAAACTAGGTTTAGGATTTCAGCTGCTTGTGCATGCTGCAGCTTCATCTTATATATTTCCTTCATTCCTGCACCATTGGCAACCAAAATAGAACTATAATGTTAAAGGCATTCGATTTAAGTTCTGGAAACTTTTTGGCGCGCGCGCACACATATATACATACCTGACAAATTATATATGCTGAAGAGGAGCCAATGGCGCGGACCTATCCCTGTTGACATGCATTTTTCTTTTTCTTTCAGCCCAATCATTCGAGAGGATATGCATGCATGTCTATATATATAGGTTTATCCTTTCTTTCTTTATTTTTTTCCCCAGGATTATTTGTGTGGATATACAAGTCTAATATTTTTTTCTCGCGTCGAAGCTAGATGCAACTTAATTAAATGCGAACATTGAGTAACCTGTGCATAAATTAAGACTGAGACATCTCAATATTCACAAACTGAGCTTATAATAAAAATTAATTTTTAATTTCAAATTTCATATTTTGGCATACCTGATTTTATGCGAGCTAAATTAAATGAAAAAATTTAAAAATTATAATCTACTATGTTTAGTAATAATAGTTATATAATACTATTTGATTTCATCTTCTAAAGTGATAATAGAGGATATCGTACCTTGATGACCAGCTCTGCTGCCCTCGCCTTCTTGCTGAATATCTACGCAGAAATGCCCAGTGGTTGTTGTTGATGGTATTTTAATATCTTCCACACAAAAGTGATCAAAGAAATGGGAAAACATAAGCTTCCTCAAATAATGATGCAGAAAAAAACTAGAAGCACGAGTAAATTACACAAATAGTATTAATTAATTAACGCCACCTGTTGTTTTCTATGAAACTTGAAGTCCAAGATGATATCTTTCAATTAATTAGGGGTTAATTACATAAATAGTATTTTTGGAATTTTTTTGCCAACCTTATTTTTGGAAATATACGTCATAAACGCTTCACCAAATTTTCAAAGAGCCTAATAATGGATCATGAAAAATTTTAGAAGATATCTTATGTTATTATTTGATGTAGTGTAGTTACAATAAATACTGTTATTATGCTCACAATGGCAATAAAAATGAATTATCAGAAGACAACACTACTTGTCAATATATGTAGGCTAGAGTTGTCGTCCACTGTAAGTGATTAAGAAGATAGATTTTGGAAAATTTTGAAGCAATCATCTTGCGAAATGACAAATGCATGAGTGAAAATGAACTAAATTAAAGAATAGGCTTGGAAGAGATACAAAAGCAAAGGAGGATTCTTTTAATTTTTAGGCAGAGAACTTACACATTCCTAAATACATACAAATATGGATTTAGATTTCCCATAAAACTATACCTAAAACTCTTGGCAAATTTATTGTTTGCACTTTCCAGTTTCCAACATGTTCTATACATAGTGGATTTTCCTTTTACTCTGTTCGATCCGTAGTTTAAGTCACCTTACTCCCTTTGATTTTTAGTATAGGGCATCTTCTAGAAGCAATTTTTGATTCTCAATATAAGTCATCAACTATATCACTCATTAATCGCTACTTTTCAATTTCACCCTTATTGTTAATTAAGGTTTAGTACTAATAATAAGCTCACTGAACTTTGTGTTTTTCTTTCTACATTATTTAATTTAAGCTGGAGGGAAACTTGAAAAAAATTATTAATTTAAGAAAAATTTAATACTTTAACTGGCATTACTTAGTATGTGAGAATTAGTTGAAAATTCCCTATAACAAGAATCAGAGGGAGTATTACCTCACCAAAACAAGAAAAGTGGTTGGCTAGTCAAATTTAAAAATGAACTATTTTTTTGCAACTTTGTACATATTTAAGAGCACAGAGAAACACTATATGATACTTCAACTCCTCTTCTAATAAATTGTAATAGGGAGGGGTAATACCTATTTGAAAAAAAAATCATTAATGATCCACCGAGTGACCGTGGATTGAGAATTTCTTTCAAAAGGCTTTCTTTATTTAATTAGGAAGGCAGGAGTAACAGAGGAATGAGTGTGTGTAAATAAACTAAATTATACCAGAGTTTGTTTCATCTTCACCATTAATTTTTACCGTCATCGTCATAATTCGCCGTTATGGCTAGTAAGTACTTTAAAAGAGGAAACGACATATATCGAAAATTGTAGGGAGAACAGAGAGTGGAAAGTAATAATATACACTAACAGTGATAGGCCCATCGCTTCAAGAACGGAAGTTGACTTTTGTGAAGAGAATGAGGAAGAGAGAGTGCAATATTCGCAATTGTTGAGTTCCGATCTGCATCTTTAGCAAAAAGCAGCTCCGGGCATCGTTGGAGCAAATGCAAGGCAACATCTATTTATGTATCAAAATCATATAGTATAAAGAGGCGAGAGGGATAAAATGAAAATGAAACATATATTGTGCTTTGAGAATGAAATTATATATCTAAAAATTATGTTACCAAATTCTCCAATTCTCAAACAGGTTCGGAGAAACTCAGGACCCACAACAGAGTCGTCTTCTGGTTTGAGAACTTCCAAAGGAGTGACAGAATAGAGATAACGTCCCAATTTGTTGTGGCCACAAAACAAAGCCAAGGTAACAGGAATCTGCCAAGGCCGTTGAGCTGGAATTGCAAGTGCAGTTCTATTTTTGTGTATCATGCATATTGCAATTGGGATGGATCCCGTATGTGTGGCAGTTGTTGCAAGTGGAGTGTAGCCATAATAATCGAATATTTCAAGATATTCTGGTTTAACTAGTCTCACCAACTCTTCTACTATACCTACATGCCCGAACTTTGCAGCTATATGAAGAGGTGTTCCGCCTCTGGAAGCTCCAAAATCTACGTCCAATACCTTAGGATGGCGATCAATGACTGCTTTTGCTTCGAACCACTTGTCCTCAGACATGGCCTTGTTCAAAATAGCCATCTCTATTTCGTCTGCCGCCGTCATTGGAATCAACAACCAGCACATATGAATTAGAAATTTAAAATATATATTCATATGCATAATTAAGACATACTTTAATATTCTTCCGTACATAAAGAAGATACGCCGGAAGTTTTTAATAATATAGCCTTAACAAAATACCAATATCTAAATCTTGTACTTCTCTCCCCTCATCACTGTATGTAATCATCAATTCTTTCTGTTTGTAAAATTGAAATACACATTTCAGCGAAATAAACAAAGATTAATTGCGCTTACTTGTTTCTTCCTCCATGCGAACTTGTGATGGCAATGGCTTGTTACTTCTTTTTCAGCTCGCTCTCACACTTCACTGTACTCTTCACGCATTCTATCTATTTATAGCCTTTTCTTTTTCCTTACGTGTTCGTATGGTCTAAGATATGTTACCAAAAAGGGAAAAAAAAAAGAAAAAAGAAGAAGACAAATTTGACTTTTCCTTTAAAAAAGCACGTACATAATTAAATAATCACTAAGTGCGCTACATCTAAACAAACACTAATATATAGCCTTGAACACGATACCCATGTCTAAATCTTGTACCTCTCACTCCTCATCACTGTAATCTCCAATTCTTGCAGTTTGAGAAATTTAAAATTTGCATTTCAGCGTAAGAAACAAAGACTGATTGCCCTTACCAAGGTGGCAATGGCTTGTTGCTTCTTGTTTTTCAGCTCGCTCTCACAACTCACTAACTCTTCGCACATTCTATATTTGTAGGCTTTTCGTTTATTCCTTGCGTGTTCGTATGGTTTCAGATATTAACGGGTACCAAGAAAAGGATCGTGATCTGTTGCCGAAAAGAAAAAAAAGAACAAGAAAACAAACTTGACCTTTTCTTTTGAAAAAAGCACACATTAAAAAAGATAGTGCTGTAGGGGAACAACTCAATTGTCTTAAGTACCATATAGTACCTTCTTTCGCAGTTGCCTCACAGTTCACTGACTCCTGACGCATTGCATATTTATAGCCATTGTCATCTTATTTCTTATGGTTTAAATTATTTAATACTATTCATTCAGTTTTTAATGTAAAAGCTACTTAACTACTAATTTGAAGATACTAAGAAAATTAGATAATTTAATTAATGATTACAAATTGACATGATTCTTTTTAAAATACACATGTATAGCAAATGTCTTGTATCTATTTGAATTTGATTGGTAATACCGCTGATGGCCCAGTATTAATCAATTAAGGTAATTTGAAAAAAAAAAAAGAGATAAAGTTTAAAATCATATATTTAGGATTAAAATCAATATTTAATTAATTAGCTTCTACACCTTAGATGAGAGCATTTAAAACTAAAACCAGCCGCTCTAACTAGCTTGACACGAGCGTATTATATGATTGGCGACTCGGGTCTATTCTTTCCCTGGAGGAATGAAAGCACCATATGCTTTTTAAGTTCCTTTAAATTGAATGGAATAGATCTGAAGCAGACAAGAAGCAAGGAATGGTTGGTTTTTTAAAAGAAGAAGAAGAAGAAGAAGGGAATGGAAACAAAAGGCAAAGGTGTTTACGAAATGGGGGAATGCTTGACGTGGCACAATCTGGAACGTTGGTGAAACAAATGGCTTGGATTTGAATTGAAAATTATCGATTCACTAAAATGTCACGTATCTTCTAGAGAAAATCTTACATATGGAACCTGAAAATTACCAAGTCTCAAATCAGAAATATTTCCTATACTTTAGTAGTTTTCTTACTACACTGGATTTGTAAATAACAGCACATATTTATAAGAATTTTTTTTTCCCATCTTGTTATGCAAATCTTGTTTTTAGTAATTTTTTTTTCTAAACTTATATGTCACGTTTGATTGTTTGTGCCTATTTGGATTTGTGCAAATCAAACTGAATATATGCCCTTGGTCAATACAATTATTTTTAATTGGGCGTAACTTATAATGACATAAAATTTTTATTATTTCAACCATTAATTAATAGGTATTAACATAATATTTTTAGCCGAAAGGGCAACAATGTATGTAATTATGTTAAAAAGAATTCTTGTTATTTCTCAAACTATATTAAACATGCTTTATAATCACTTTTACTTTTGAATAATACTATAAATAATTAAAAATTAAGGGTAGTAATAATCTCTATATTTTAAAATATTTTTGTTATGCGTTTTTTATATAATAAAAAAAGTATTGGTAATTTCATTTTATTTTCAGTTTTTATTCAATAAAAAATTAATGTATCCGATATTCATATTATACTAAGGCCGTATTTAATATAAATTAATTTTTAAATTTTCTTTTATTTTATTTGTGTGGGTTCAATCATGCTTCTGATATTTAAAAACAACTACATATAATTGTTGTTTTACCTCACATATAAAACAAATCTTTCAATGTTTTAAGAAAGTTCAAACTTTATTTTTCCCCTGACAACCTAAAATAGTTAGGTAAAATTAGAGCCAAACAGTTTTTGCCGGTTTTAATTTAAATATATGCACATAAATATGTTAAGTGTAACATCCTATTTTTAGAATTTAGTTCTGTTCTGGAGTATATAAAGGGTATATTATGAGTTAAGAAAAAAAGTGTATATTTTAAAACTTATTTTTATACATTAATGAAGTAAAAGAAAAAGCAAACGAATATCAAATGCAATATCTCGCTAGATTAATAACTGAAATATATGTTATTTTGTAGTGAAATTGTTAACATCGTTGTAGGTGAATAATAAATAGAAAACTGTTAAGATGGCAAAAGATTGATATTAATTTAAATATTGTTTATATCTAACAAAATTTTATTATTTAGGCACCTTTTAAAATAAAGTGACGCATTCAAATTTAGTATTATGGTGTATCTTTCAAAAACCTAAATCTGTTTTGGATATATGTGTGCGCGCGCGCGTGTATAAAATTGCGTGTTTGCAAGTATGTTAAGGAATATAGTAAATTATATTATATCAGATAAATAATAACTAAATTTTTTTAATATTTACAAAAGAATAAGATTAGTTAAGGTTATTGAAATTTGAAATATTATCTATACGTCATCAAGTTTTGATATTTGTTTAACTTTAAAAAAAAACATTTAGATCTAATATGTATATATATATATATATATATTAAGAACAGCTGGAGAAGTAAAACTAGAAATCTATTTTTTTTCCAGTCCCCCATCACTTGTGTGACTACCGCCTCTTTTCCTTCTTTTGCCTTTCTTCGTTTTCTTATCTATTCAGGGTTGCTTTTCCCCTCCATTAATAATGCCTAGTCACGTTGCTCTCTTATTCCATCTTTTCTCTAAATCATACACATGTATATTGGCCGCCTTTCTTATTTTATCAATCAAATATATATGATGTGCCCAGGATTATTACTCCCCTGTCAATTTTTCCCACTTCCCATTGTATTCGATCGACTATATATATTATACCCGCGTTCTTTTCTTATCGCCATCAAATACATGTTGTGCTACAAGCTATTTCTTCTGCATCAATTATGATGCCGTTGCCCTCAAAGTCTTTTAATCTTCGTATTCATCTACCATCTCCGTTAGCCAACGTTCCTTCTTCTCCACATCCATATAGATAGAGATATATATATATATATATATATATGTTGAACCTGTTCTAGCATCTCTGCCATGTTAGTCACACACAAGTATTAATAATTTAAGAGATGATTTAACATGTTCCTCACTATAAGACTCGCATTGAAGGTTTTGGTTTAATTCTTCGGTAACTATTATGAGATGAGGAGTAACAGGTAACTTTGGACATTGCTTTCGTATACATATGAAATGCATATATTCATTCTATGGTTGATTGCCTTGCTATTTAATTATATCAGACCAAGTAATACAAATGCATAAATGTGTGTGTATCCTGGAAATTTTCTAGTAAACGGAATTTTAATCTAATTTCATTTAGGAGCTATAATACGATGATGATGATGATGATGATGATAAAAGTAAAAATTTTTAACGGTCATAATAATTAAACTATAATAATACTATAATGATATATTCTATTAGCCTTAAATTTATCTATATAAATAAATAGACATACATATACACAGTTGTGTTGTGGAGGCTGTTAGATTAAAAGTTTGTGTGAACGATTTAAACTATGCATCGTAGTTTAATCTTTTCAAGTGTGCTTGTCTCTATATATCTTGATGTATCACGTAAATTTGTAAGTGGTTTACTCCTTTGCAAGCACACTTGTGTATGTGACATCTTACTATTTGAATTGGAACAGTTCTACGACACTACAATATAGAATGGCATTTTATTTACTCGTGTTGATATATCTGTCATTGCATTTGCATTCATGATGGGTTGAGATCAGCAGGAGTTTTGTGTATATGATAAATTTTTTTACCACATGCATGGCATACCACCACTTGTTGCACAGTGGATGACATACTTTAATTTTCTTCCGTACATAAAGAAGATACGCCGGAAGTTTTTAATAACACAGCCTTAACAAGATACCCTATCTAAAACTTATACTTCTCTCCCGCCACCACTGTATGTAATCATCAATTCTTTCAGTTTGTGAAATTAAAATACACTTTTCAACGAAATAAACAAAGATTAATTGCGCTTACTTGTTTCTTTCTCCATGTGAATTTGTGATGGCAATGGCTTGTTACTTCTTCTTTTTCAGCTCGCTCTCACACTTCACTGCCTCTTCACACATTCTATATATTTATAGCCTTTTCGTTTATTCCTTACGTGTTCGTATGGTTTAAGATATGTTACAAAAAGAAAAAGAAAGAAAAAGAAAAAGAAGCAAACTTGACTTTTCCTTTAAAAAAGCACGTACACATTAAAAAAAGATAGTGCTGTAGGGGAAAAATTAATTGTCTTAGGTATCATATAGTATCTTCTTTTGCAGTTGTCTCATAGTTCACTTACTCTGACGCATTGTATATTATAGCCGTTGTCGTATCATTTCTTATGGTTTAAATTATTTAATACTATTCATTAAGTTTTTAATGTAAAAGCTACTTAA